CTTTTAAATAGCTTGTAAATGCCTGTGCGCATTTTATTTTCACTTTCGAATTAGCGGCAATTTGGCATCAATTGATTGAATTGACAACAACAAAACAGTACGACAAACTCACTTATATTAAACATAGAATGTTTAATTTATTTACAAAACGCCTTCCAAAGTCTAAAATATGTTTAAAGCAGGCGCTTTTGTATTTCATTTCGAAACAATCTTTTGCCAACTTCTTGTCTTTCTCACCTTACTCGTCAGCTCGACTCACTCACATGATAAATGAAATCAGACTCCTGCCACTGATCTAAGATGTGACTGTTGTTCGGCACACTGCATTGTTCAAAGTAAAAGAAAAGATTATACTTTATGATGTTAGTTTTAATAAATAAAAAAATGTAAAAATCAAGGAAATTTCTCCGGCATTTCTTTCTTTTTGCTGTATCGAAAATGTACCAAACCGTGGCACCGCTGTGTCGTATCGAACCGAACCGTGAGTTTTGTGAACCGTTACACCCCTAGAATTTATCATACATCAGTGTTTCCCCTGACATTATATTAGGGGGGCGGCCCGCCCCCCCTTGAAGGTCAAGTTAATTAATAAGAACATCATATGGTATTTGGTGTAATGCAATGTGTTTATGCGGTTTAAGGTTCAAAAGACACATTATTTTCCACATACTGTACATTATTGTTTCTCCTCTATGCCCCACCTTTCTGATTGGCCAGCTATCTACTGTGTTGTGATTGGCCGAATACCTCAAGCTTGTGACTGAAATGTTACCCCCTTACCATACTGTGATACCGTGTCCCGGCGCGATGAGACAAAACCAATAAAACACATTACAAACGAGGCATTTGTTGCATCCAGTGGGGACATAATTACTGATTATAATGACTTATGCTGTCTTTTTACGCATTGCGTTGCGTATCGCGCCACGTAAACATAAAACCATGTCTGCATTTATGATCGGAGAAACGACAAACAACAAGCACTACTCTACACTGCTCAAAAATTCTTGAGAAAATGGCAAATTCTTTAAATATGAAAACGTACTTACAGGCTGTGAGTCAGAACAGCCGGCATTGTAGGCTACTTTCCCAGGTTCAGGAAACAGTCCTCCGTAAAATGCACTGCACACACTCGAATATTTGGGTTGAACTGTTCTGGAACAGTGTTGTAAATACAACTTAACCACTGATTTCTAGTTGTGTCCTCTTTTGGAAGGCCAAACAAAGTAGTTTCTCCCACACAGTGACGTAGACATGTGGGGGCTTGTTTAAACGAGGTGTTTTAGGAGGACGTGGTCAAGTCATAACTTTTATAAAGAATATCTCTTTGGGTTTGGGACTTTAGTCTTTGCAAATTTAGGGATATTATCTATTCACGAACAGCTTGTAACACTCCAAAGAGAAAGGAAAACTTGAAATCGCATCATACGACCCCTTTAAATGGTCGCGCTCTCTGTATATTGTACTGTATATATACTGTACTCCGCCCCGATGCGCACACACAAGTGAGCACACTCCCACTAGTATTTGTAAATATTAAACTGCAAAACGACTATTTAAATATGAATTCTTCGTGTCTCTGTGGCGCAGACGCGCGGTTTTGTTTACTACTCGTACTGAAGCACGCGTGATGCTTCCGGTGATATTAACGTCTGCCCGTCTCACTAATGAGGACATAAATACATGAACAACATCTCCAGAACTGCTCTGAGAGTCACTTCATGAGCATTTG